ATATAATATAAGCTCTGGCGGACTTGGTTCTGTGGTAGGTCTTAAAGGGTTAATGGGATCTATTTTTTAGTCATTTGTAAAGGAAATCAGTCAAACTCCATCCAGCTGTGAGATCCATGTGGTGTTAATGCCATCATGTGTGGTCTACTGCAGTGGCAACTAAAGTGTGGTCTGCTACAAAGACACTAAAATTGTTACTAAAGCAAAACCCACCAAGTTTCTGGTCACACAGGTGATGATTGTTTTGTGTATTTTTCTCAATAAATGATATAAAAAGTAATTTTGACACTAAACAGATCAAATAGTTTGTAGGTGAGCAGGAGCGACATTCTGTTGTCAGCTGATTGATAAGAAACGGTTCCTTAAAACCAGGATAAATGAATATTATGACTAAATATACCCTGGATACGTTCTTGTCAGCAGCACCAGCTTCAGTGATTCATCCATCAGAGTTTAGATTGATGCAGATGTGGAGGCAGCTGTTGTGTTTGAACCTGTGAATGCTGTTTGTCTGCACAGCGGCAGCTTGTGTGTGGAGCGTGGTGTGCTACGTGAAGTATCGCTGGAGGAGAGACGAGGTGGAGACGAGACAAATGTACGACATGGTGGAGAGGATCATCGGTAAGGACCGCACCGTATTCACTTGGACGTCAGACAGGAAGTGTGTTTGCTTAGGAGTTTGGTACCTTCTTCTTATCCAGATGTGATGAAGACTCATGGTGAGGCTTGCCAAGAGAACCAGGACCTACAGCCCTACCTGCCCATCCCACATGTCAGAGACTCGCTGGTTCAGCCGCAGGACCGGTAAGTCCCATCTTCAGTTTTAGACCTCAAAGCAGTTTCCTCAGGTAATCAGATTACTGTTTTGTTTTTGTTTTTTTAAATTTCTTTGGTTGAGGTGGGTCTGAACTTTTTTACGTTATAAGATTTAACTTTACATCGTTGGTCTTTGAGAAAATTTCATGTTTCTGTCCAGACGTCAGAGCTGGATTAAAACTCAACTCTC